TTAATGTCCTAATTGACATCATTCGAATTGCTCCTAAAGTTTGGTGGGTTTTCAAAAGCAAATGATGGAAATACCAACTTCCCCCTGCAGGCAGGCTTGCTCCTCTCCTCCAATCCACTTATCAGACTCGATGATGACTCCTTGGCTACATTTCTTTTTATCATCCTTTTGTGAACCCTCTAAGGGTAGCAATCATATGCATTTATATTAGGCTCTTCAGTGACAATCACAGTGCTTGGCCCAGAGAAGGTGTTTAATAAATGTCAACTCACTGAATGAATTAATAGTTAATTAAAAGCTGAGTAAAAGGCTTTTAATTAACTGTATTCAGTAAGTCACAAGATGGAGGCAGCAAATGGTAAAGGGGAGAAAAAGAGATCTAGAATTGGAATGAAAATGGTTACTTCCTGTATATGATCCAAGTACAGGGAAGTTATTTAGTGCTCCTGTTCCTTGGTTTCTTCAGTTATTAAGGTCCGGAGATCACACTTTTAAGAACCATTGTTTCAGAGTAAGTACCCAACGACCTCCCTACCTATGATTGAGTTGTCTGATTACCAAAGTTCAGGTTCCCAAACCTTATACTCCAGTTGAACTTGTTTATTGCAGTTATATTAGTTAATTATACACCAGGTAAATGTACAGAAGGGATTAATTTTCAAATTATCTGCTGAATTAGGGTGAGAATTCTGTAAAATATTAGGACATTTTCATAAAAATCTTGGATTTTATACTCAGATTCCCTCCCAAGTATCTTTCTCAGTTCCACTACAAGTAAAACTTTACTGGTGTTGAACCCACCATGAGCACAAATGGACATGAGGAAATTTGGAGGTGATGGATATGTTCATTATCTTGATTGTGGTATTGTGTTGATCTTTTCTTAGGTGTATATACACAAAAACTTACCAAATTATACATTGTAAATTTATGCAGTTTATTGTACGTCAATTGTACCTCAATAAAGTATACAAAAACATACAAACATACACACACAACAAACAGAACTGCTCAGATTAAAAAGACTGACAAAAAATTTGGCAAAGATATGGAGCATTTATAACTCATATATTATTAGTAGGAATGCAGAATGGTACAAACGCTTTGGAAAAAGGTTTGTCAATTTCTTACAAAACTAAACATACATCAGCCATAATACCAAATAATTCCATTCCTAATTATTTATCCAAGAGAAATGAATAACAAGACGTTTGTTCAAGAAAGTTTATAACACCTTTTTTCATAATAGCCAAAAACTTGAAACAGCTGAGGAACTCATGAGCAAGAGGATGGATAAACAAAATATAGTATCTATATAACGGAATACTACTCAGTGACAAAAAAGGAACAAACTCCTTATGCACTCAACAACATGGATGAATCTCAAAAATATCATGCTAAGTGAAAGAAGCATTACACCAGAGTACAACTATATGATCCCACTTACATGAAAAGGCAAAACTAATCTCTAATATAAAAAAGCAGAACAGAAGTTGCCTCTTGGGGCTGATGACAGAACTAGAAAATGATATAAATAAATTTTCTGGGGTGATAACAATGTTCTATATCTTGAAAGGGTTTATTTGGTTTAAACAGAGATAAGCCATTTGTCAAAGCTCATGGAATGGTGGGTACACTTAAGATTTGTGCATTCACTGTAAAATTTACCTCAAGATAAGAAAAAATTTTAAATAAATGCTGAACTCTAGATAATGTATATGCATACTCAAGTGTTTGGGGATAAAATATACTAATGTCTGCTACTTTAAAATGCAACAAAAGATGGATTGATGGATGAACAGATATAATAAAACCATGTATAATGAAATATTAACAAAATCTGGGTGGAGGCATATGGGTTTTCAGTGTATAATTCTTTTAATTCTTCTATATGTTTTGAAAAGTTTCATAAGATGTTGGGGAAAATCAGTTTATAACCACTGACTGAAAAAAAAAATTCCTTTTATAAGATAATAGTTATGTGACTCCATTTTGTGCTTATCTATGTTTATGTGTTTACAGACATACATAAATGAAGTATATATATGTATTGTGTGCATGTATTCATGTATGTTGCACATATTCAACTGTTCCATCTTAACCAGATCCTTCCAATTCACTTAAAAAATACTCAAGTCTCTCCTATCCCCAAAGAATACAAAACAAACAAAAGAGAAACTCTCTCAAAATCTCATCCCTCTTCAGCTACTACTAGGTCACTTTTGTTCCCTTTCAAAGCTACATTTCTCAAAGAGGTAAATATACTTTCCGTGTCAGTGTCTTTGCCTTCTCCATTCTGGCTTGTGTCCCCAAAACTCCAGCAAAATGGTTCTTGCTCAAGATACCAATGATTTCTATGTCACTAGATCAAACGAACATTTTCAATCCTTATACCATGTAAAATATAAAATACTAAATTCACCTACTTTTAAATTCAAAATGAGGGAAGAAAACTTTATTTGGCATATATTAATAAAACAAGCTTCAAAAAAAGAGTTCAATTTCGTATTATGGTCAAGTTAGAATGTAAAAAGGGCAAAACTTAAGGGATAAATTCAAGAAAAAGAAAAATATTAAGAAAAGAAGATAAAATTGTTGTAGCTCAAACAGTAAATGCCAATGGCCTATTTTCATTATCACCTAATCGTAATGCATTTTGAAGTTCTAGTGAACTCATTAACCATTGTTCACATTCGTCAACTGGCTTAGTCTTAGTAGCTATAGAAATTCTATCTTAAATGGATCTTCCAAACCATCTATTTATGTAGAAATTATTCTCTGAGTTACAAGAACAATAACCAGAGAACTAGGTCCCCCAAGGATCCAACAAATCAGCTCAGTGTCAAAATTAGCACAGAAACCATTTCCTAATCTTCAGAAGACGATCCCTCAAAGCCTTTCATTGCACATTCAGCACATACAACGCAACATTTCCAAGGCTTCCAATGATTTCAGTGTGTCGGGTAATATAAAATCCTGCAGTACAATCAGCTACTTTTAAAATAATCTTATTTGTAAAACAAAGGAAATTTCTTTGTAACATGGGCTTCGGAAATGAAAGCTAAGCTTCAAATGTGAGAATGAAACATGCACAAGAATTTGAATTGTATTTAGGTTGTAGCATGATGGTTCCAAAACTGCAGGTCACCTTTTATAACACTCTCACATCTCTGATTTTGAAGATGAACAGGCATTGGCTAGTCAAAGAGTTGTGGGAATGAACACTCTAGCATAGGCAAAAGCTGTAAAATATGTGGAAATAGTCACAGCAGGGCTTTAATTTACTTATTTATCTTCCTCTGGTACTCATCTGTGTATCTTGGTGACAGATGGTAGTTTCCTGATAACTCCTTTCCTTATTCTTCCACCTAATCTCCTGAGAAAGCAAATTCATTTATTCTACAAACAATTATTTAGCACCTCCAATGTGCAGGCCTAGACTACCTGCATTGCCTAGGCTTAAAGTAATATGTACAGCTAATGGTAATCTGATTATTGAAGGACTTCATCTTAGCCTAGCTTTTCACACCAGATCTTTATACATAGCAGCATTATTTGGCTATTTTTAAACAATTAAACTTAGTTTTTCATTTACCTTTGAGTTCCACTAACCAATGGAGGTAACATGAAGAATAACTACATTCAATTATAAGGAAGGAAACACAGAATGACTTAATCACAAATTAGGTGAACACTCCTGAAAATCCAAAGTGGTTCCTTAGTATAAAATCTAGATTCAAACTCTAATCTTTTTGGATCACAAACCTCTTTGAAAATCTAAGGAAAGCTAAGGACCCTGTGGTAGGCAGCTTTTGACAGGGTCCCCAAAAATCCCCACCTCTTGGTATTCACAACCTTGTTTAATCTCCTTCCTTTGAGTTCTGGCTGGACCTAGCAACTTGCTTCTAATGAACAGAAAATGGCAAAAGGGAAGACATGTCTCTTCTGTGATTATTTTACAAAAGACCATGACTTCCATCTTACCAGCACTCTGTTGCCCTCATATTTGCTCTCCTTGATGAAAAAGCTACCATGTGTGAGATGCTATATGAAGAGGTCCATGTGGCAAGGAAGCAAAGGAGGCCTCCAGCCCATAGCTCACAAGAAACTGAGGTCTCAGTCCAAGAACCTTCAAGAAACAGAATCACTCCAACATGAGCTAGGAAGTGAATCCTCCCCAGTCCAATCATGAAATGACTGCAGCCTTGTGAGAGGCAGAGCCAGAGGACCCAGCTAACTAGAGCCTGGATCCCTGGCCCATAGAAAATGTGAGATGATAAACATGTATTGTTTTAAGCTGCTAATTTTGGCATAATTTGTTACAGAACAAAAGATAACTAAAACGGATCTACATACATGTACAAATTCTGGTACACATTTTAGGGAATTAGGAGGCCTCTTTAAAGTCCATAAATAGAATTCTTAGTGGCCCAGGGATTCCACATTAAGAAACTTCTAATATGATAAACCCCAAACAATATGTAGAAAAAGCCTGAAGGAAATCAATTTAACCATGCTATGTAATGTACCAAATGTTGTAATACTTCCCTTCCATAAAGTATTATTCAGTTAAACTACTTCAAATATATTGATATCTTAGTACTACAGGGTGTCCCAAAAGTCTCCATACAAAGGAAAAATTTTGTAAGATTTTGTAACAAATATTTTGTAAATAAAGGTACATTTAGCTACAATTTCCCACTTTCCCTTTGTATGGTGACTTTTGAGACACCTTGTAGTATTACTAAAGGCAAAATCAAACCAAGTTATACCAAAAGATTATTTTTGAATAATATACCATAGGTAAGAAGGATAAAATAACTGAGACATTGTCCTCAACTTTAAGGACTTTACTATCTGGTTGGTGAGACAAACACAAAATACACACAAAATAGCTATCATAACGGTACTACAAATAGAGATTTGCATATGGTATCCATTCATGTACATAATAAAATTACTTCACTGAATTTTAATTATAAAGTAATTAAAATAAATACCTGTACTGTTTTTCCAAGTCCCATGTCATCACCAAGAATACACCCTCTTCCTTGGATGTAGTGTCCATAAAGAAACTGGGCTCCTTCCCTTTGGTAGTCCCTCAAATACCTATTGATGGTATAAGGAATAGAGTCTCCATCTTCAGATAATTTAAAAGCAACAGCAGATGATGGAAATTTTCGGTCTGGGAAATAAGGCTTTTCCAAATCTTCATCATCAAATATAAAATTCCTGGGGCAATCTTTAACAGACTTTACTTCTTGAAGTCTTGTAAGAGGTATTTTCCTTTCTTGCAAATCTGAATATAAAACAATTGCAAATGACTTGCCATTTTCATCCACTGTGATAGATTTTATGCTTGCTTCACAAAGTTTTTCATTATCTGGAGAAGGGACAAGACATCTCTCTCCTGGATGCCACCTGTCTTCAATAATAAAGAAGAAAATAAAGTTTCCAAATCTAGCTCATTTTTCCACTACTATGAGAAAACGTAATGTACCTCACATAAATACCTTTTCTAAATAAATGAGACAAGATAAATTATAACACATATAGATATTACTCTAAAATATATAATCAGATATTCTCCTATAATAAATGGCATAAAGGGAACATAATTTATTTCCAGTGGTTCTTACCCTGGCTATGTGTCATAATCTCCGCTAAAGTTTTAAAAAAATATAGATGCTTGGACACTACCCCTGGTGATTCTGATTTGGTGAGGGGTCATGGGAATTTGGTTTTATTATTTTGTTTGGTTGTTATTGTTGAATTCAAAAGATGACGGATACGCAGCCAGGGTTAAGACCACTGACTTAAATATTCTTGCTGACTTATGAACATTTTACAAACACACATATATGTGTGTACAGTATATACAAAGAGAGAGAGATTGAGAGAGAGAGAAATAATTTATGATATGGTAGAGTAATAGTGAATAGGACTTGGTAATGAGTAAGCTAAAATCTTCTGGACAGCAAAGCTTTAGTGGTTTGTCTGTCTGCTTTTTTATAGTTATTTCATCTCCTTGCTCTGGAGACAGCTGCTGCTTCTCACTATCAATACTGCTGTGACTAAAACCATTGCTTTAACTTGTATACAACTAACCAATGGAATGTCCAGTTCAACTACAGAGGGATATCACAGCTTTGTCATAGCCTTTTCCCTTCTAGATTTTAAATAGTTGAGGTTTTAAGAGATGAATTCTAAGATTTCTTTCTGCTAAGATTCTATTATTCTTCGAAGAGTCTGGCCTATATGAACTTATTCTGTACTTAACTATATAGCCACCTATCTTATTTTCTATTCAGAAAATATAGCACTATGAATGGGGGTCTTTATAGAGTTTACTATTGGTACAGTTAAAAGGTATCAAATAGAGAAAACTAAGCAAAAATAATTTTACGAATGGAATTTTGTATGGCAAGAATCCAAGAATTAAATGGTTACGACTGTCAGAATACTAGGAATTATTTTTCTTACACATTTCTCATTGAGATCAGATGACCACTGTTAGTTCCCTAGGGTCTTCCTGATGACCTCAAGTTAGATTTTATAACATTCATGATTATAACATGACATGTTTATGCTGTCTTAAGCTCATTATATTCCCTATCAGTTGTTCCTCAAAAGTAAAGCCATTATTACCACTAACCTTGGTGAGGTTGTTTTACAATAACAATCATGAGTACAAAGGGAAAAATTTGTTCCCCCACTCTAATCTTTGGATACAAACTGAGAACTGTTATACTGTTCTTTTTTTCTTTTTTTGAGACAGAGTCTCACTCTGTCGGTTAGAGTGCTGTGGCGTCAGCCTTCCTCACAGCAACCTCAAACTCCTGGACTCAAGCCATCCTCCTACCTCAACCTCTCGAGTAGCTGGGACTATAGGCTCATGCCACCATGCCTGGCTAATTTTTTCTATTTTTAGTGGAGACGGGATCTCACTTTTGCTCAGGCTGGTCTCGAACTCCTGACCTCAAGTGATCCTCCCACTTCAGCCTCCCAGAGTGCTAGGATTACAGGCATGAGCCACCTCACCCCGCCTGTTACACTATTCCAAAAGACAGTGTTTTAATGTGAAGCTAATACTTTGATCCACTATATAAGTGAAACAACATATAGGTCAATGGGCCCTATTTTCAGAACAGTACTATTTGAGCCTTAAAATGTAATGTAACCCCACAGCAATTCTTTTTTTTTTTTTTTTTTGAGACAGAGTCTCACTCTGTTCCCTGGGCTACAGTGCCATAGCATCGGCCTACTTCACAGCAACCTCAAACTCCTGGGCTGAAGCAATCCTCTGCCTCAGTCACCGGAGTAGTTGGGACTACAGGCGTACACCACCATGCCCAGCTAATTTTTTCTAGGTATTTTTAGTTGTCCAGCTAATTTCTTTCTATTTTTTTAGTAGAGACGGGGTCTCGCTCTAGCTCAGGCTGGTCTCGAACTCCTGAGCTCAAATGATCCACCCACCTCAGCCTCCTAGAGTATTAGGATTACAGGCATGAGCCACCATGCCTGGCCCCCACAGCAATTCTTAACACATTATTTCTGTTTCACATGATTTGTTTGTCTACCCAGCAAATGTCTTCCCATTTTTTAAGACTTAATTCATTAATTAATTTATTATTCTATACATATGATTTAAGTACAAATTATTCACCAGGTATAATACTACACAATGGGTATAAAATGAAGAAAATCAATGTCAAAAATGATGGTAACCAGTCTTCCTGCAACTCATTAATTGGCATCATTATCTAACCAACTTTTTAAGGCAGAAAACCATCCAACAGCCCCCAATTCTCTTTTTATATTACTCTTTTCATCCATTCCATCAGAATATCCTGGTTATACTTCAAAAATATTTATCTTTCCTCCATGTCACCATCTCTCTAAAGCAAAAGCTGGCAAACTTTTTCTGTGAAGACTCAGACATTAGCTATTTGTTATTTTAGATTTTGCAAGCCATACATTCTCTTGCCCTTGTAACGCAAAAGCAAACACAGACAATACATAAACAAATGTGCGTGGCTGTGTTCCAATAAAACTTTATTTACAAAAAGAAGTGTCAGACTAAATTTGGCCCACAGGCAATAGTTTGCTGACCTCTGCCCTAAAGCATGCTACCATCAGCTTTTAACTAAATTATTCCTAACCAGTGTCTCTGCTCCCAGTCCACCTTATTTAAAATAGGGTACCGTATTATTCTCTATCTCAGCATTGTATTGCCTCTGTAGCACTTATCATAATGTTTAATTACCACGTCTACTTGTTTTTATCTTTCTCTTCCAATAGAGAATAATTTCCTTTCAAAGAAAAAGTCTGTGTTATTCTAAATTTTATCCCCAGGACCAACATACAGCAGACACTCAATAAACATGTGCTGAATTTACCAATGAAAACAGATTCTTTATTTCACAGATCCTTGGTATCTGGTGAGAAAGAATCTAAAAAGTTCACAAACATATGTAATTATAAAAAGTATGTTGGAAGAGGAGAAGAGAGTGCTATAAGGAGCATTGGAAAACATAATTTAAAAGGGAACGGGGTCTAAGAAGAGTATCTCAGGTGGTACAACATGTGCAAAAAGACTTAAGGGCATTACACAATTTATGGAAACCGTTTTGATTCCTCGGTTTGGATAATTTCTAGAATTAAATGGATTCAGTTAAGTTTGAGCTAGAAATGGAATCTCTCAGTATCCAAACTCCAGAACAAACTGCTTAAATTGGGAGGATTCCCTGTTGGATTTAACAGGAGAATGGAGGTAAGGCTCCTTATGATCTGATCCCTCTTTCATTCCAAACTGGCCTCCTTGCTATTACTCAACCATGGCAAGCATGCTCTCACCTCAGGGCCTTCAGCTTTCTGTTCCTTCCACCAATACTCTTTCAGTAAATTTAACTGAAGAATTAGCATCCCAGTCACCATAATCACCACTCAACATTTATTTTTACCTGCCAGGCTACTATAGGTATTTATATAGTATGTGTGGTCCCTGAATTAAAGCATCATCAATTCAGGCTTGCTACTTACTCTCTCAGCTTTAGCCCTGAATTCCTCATCTATTTAATGAAATGGATATCCACCTTCATTCACATACTTAACAACAAACGTGTACCATTCACTAACAACGAAGGCACATAAGGATTAAAGAATTAAAATGTCTAAATTTACTGAGTGCCTACTATGGGCAAGACGCCATGTCACATAAATGCTTTGCACACCTCATCTCATTTAATTATCACAAGAACCAGCAATTAACCCAACTTTACAGATGAGGAAACTGCCCAAAGGTGCTCAGCAAGTAACTGTCAGAGCTAGCACTAGATCCAAGGGCTGTCTGACTCCAGAGTCCAGGTTCTCAACATTGAATCGCAAAGATTTGTTCTCAACCCCTGGAGAGGTTCACGATCTGCAGCTGTCACTCAGAGGCGCCACAGGGTAAAACCCCAAACCGAAGGGGTTTGGGATTGGCAGGAAGAGGTCCAACGCAACGCTGTAAAAACAGGTGTCTGGCCAGAGAGGCGAGCTCGGAGCTTATACCTTTGCGGGCGGTTTCCGCGCGGGGCTTCGGGGCAGAGGGATCCATCTGGCCAGGGGGAGGGGCCCGGCAGCCCGGCTGCATTTAACACCCGGAAGGCGGCGGAGGACAGCTAGGAGGCGGGCCAGCGGGCCAATCGCGGCCAATACTACTCCCCGCCGGCCTCCGTACATCGCTCCCCAAGAGCCGTAAGCCACGGGACGGGGGAGGGGGCAGTAAAGGTAGAGCCTGAGAGGACCGCAGGAGAAGCGAAGGGCGGCGGCGAAGCAGCAGCAGAGCCGGGGGGCGCTGTGTGAGGCTGGCAAGGCGTAGTTTCACCTAATCGTCTCGTGCTTCGCCGCCGGTGAAGACAAAATGCGGGCACCAAGACCCCTAAATCTCCCTCTCGTGTCGGGCCTCGGTTTACTGCCCACCGCAACTTCCAATCCTAACTTGGAAAATCTCGCGAGAACAGTCTCCCGAAATGTCACCAGGATCTCGCGAGAACAAAATCTTTCTTTTACGTGGGCGGAGCAATCTTCCTGCCATCCCTTCCCATCGAGGCCGGGAACAGAAAGATCCGCGATAGTTGCAAGTGTCGCGAGGTTTGATATCGCTCGCTGGGCTGGCGCGCATCTTGCTGCTAAGAGAGACGAAGAGATTGGTGGGTTTGGTTGTGCGTCGGTGTTTTTATGGCTGGTAAAGAGCGTGAAGGCCTGGCAAATATCGTCGTCCCGCGCTCTTGGCCTTCTCACTTAAATGTATTGCTCGGTTCTTTCATCGTGTTGCAGCACGCCCCCCCATCTTGAGGAAGCAAACGATGCCCTCCTGGAGTGCGGACCCCAGGGCACCCACGGGAGGCCCAGTGAAATTGTGCGTTTTCCTGGGTCATACACTTTATAGTAAATCGTAAATGACTTTTTAAAGTACAAAACAAGCAACACTTGCCAAACATAGACGGGAAATGTAAAAATACTGTTAAAAAAGTGTTTTTCTGGGCTGGGCGCGGTGGCTCACGCCTGTAATCCTAGCACTTTGGGAGGCCGAGGCGGGCGGATTGTTTGAGCTCAGGAGTTCGAGACCAGCCTGAGCAAGAGCGAGACCCCGCCTCTACTAAAAATAGAAAGAAATTAATCGGCCAATTAAAAATACGTAGAAAAAATTAGCCGGGCATGGTGGCACATGCCTGTAGTCCCAGCTACTCGGGAGGCTGAGGCAGAAGGATCACTTGAGCCCAGGAGTTTGAGGTTGCTGTGAGCTAGGCTGATGCCACGGCACTCACTCTAGCCCGGGCAAAAGAGTGAGATTCTGTCTCAAAAAAAAAAAAAAAAAAAAGTGTTTTTCTCTGTACCTTCTGAAGTCACCGATGGTTTGTATAACACATCATGGAGAAACTAAACAAGCCATCCACACCGTGTCTGTAAGCATGCTCAGGGCAGCACAACGCTCACGAGTTTAAAAGTAGATACTGCCTATCTGGCGCTTTTCCAGACATTAAAGATTAATTCAGAAATGGCCCCTGCACAGGTTAAAATGTTTTCGTTAAAATGAAATCAATATTTCATTGATTTAGGTTAGCCTGAATGGGCTTGTATTTATTTCCTATTGCTGCTATAACCAATTATCACAAACGTGGTGGCTTAAGATAGCACAAAGGTACCTTACAGACCACGTTAATTTATCTTACAGTCCTGTAGGTCAGAAGTCCTGAGCAAGTCTCCTTAGGCTAAAATCAAGGTGTCAGTAGGGCTGCATTCCTTTCTGGAAACTAACTCTACAGGAGAATCATTTCCTTGCCCTTTCCAGCTTCTGTCTGCATTACTTGGCTTTGGTCGTTTTCCTTCTTCATCTTCAAAGCCAGTGATGTTGCATCTCAATAACTCTTCCATAGTCAGGTAGGTCTCCCACTGATTACAGCTGGGAAAGATTCTTTGATTTTAAGGGCTCAACTAGATTATCCAGGATAATCTCTTTTCGAGGTCCACAGCCTTAATCACATCAGCAAAGTTTGTTTGCCCTGTAAGGTAGCATATTCGCAGGGTCCAGGTATTAGGAGATAAAGTTTTTTGAAGGGATCATTATTCTGCCTGCTGCAGGGCCTTAATTAGGAAAACTATATGGCTATTTGCTGTGCAAATAGATCTCAATTCTTTGCAGATATTAAAAATTAGTAGTATGTTTTCATAAAATGCTTCATCTGGAATATCACTTGTTTGCTTATTAGGTGAAAACTTTAAGTCTAAGAGAAACATCCGACTCATCTGCTATGTGGAAGATGTTGGCCAAGTGACTTCTGGGAGTCTCAGTGTCTTCACATGACCATAAGAATCAGGCTGATAATAGTAACCTACCTAAAAAGGGTAATTGTAGGAAATAAAATAATTAAGTCAAACTCCTAAAACAGTGCTTGATCATAAGTAAGGAATATATGTATTGCTGTTACAGTTGTTATCAATGGAATGCCTCCACTTGAAAGTTGCATTCTGCATAGCAATTGCTTCAGTTTATTAATAATATTTTGGCTAATAGTTGATAATACATTATTACTTAGATTAGGATTTTAGAGTAGATCTTAAAACAGCATGAATTATAAGACATTTTATGTACAGCTAAAAAAAAGAAGAAAAACCACTGCTGATTATAATTGTAATATACATCCTGATTTTGGAAATTTTAAAATTTAGAAAACTCTGCTTCTTGGAATTGATGAGATATATAGGTATATATGTTTTACTTAAACTCTTCACATTTTCTCTAAAATCAAGATGGTAAATGGAGATTTTAATAAAGCTTACTTTTTTTCCTATGACTACCAGAGAAGAAGTTTGATTTTTTCCCTTAACAGGAATGACTAGTTGTATAATATTGTCTTATTTTTTCCAGAGGTCCATTGATATAATATGTAAATCTTTACACAGCTGAACTCTAAATAGAAGTGATAAGACAAATTCAGAAATAAATTTTGATTTAAATAAAAGATATCATCTGATTGAAGGAATACCCTTGTGACTAACAAAACAGGAGGGTTCCTCATTTTCATAACCACCATGGTTATGATGTATAGTGAAGCAGAAGTAATCATGACATGAAAATATGTCTTAGTGAATTCATTGCCCCATAAAATTAGGCATCCTTAAACATTCCTTCCTGTATTTAACGGTAGCTTTTGTCCTTGCTCATTGCATTGGCATCCTTTTCAAGGTGCTGATGTTGTCAACATCCAACACTCTGATGCCAGTCACTGCAAAGTGGAATTGAAAATCTTGTAAAATATCAGGAATTCTGGAAGTTAATGTATGTGATGTTGGATAACTGTATCACCTGCAAAACCATTGGCAAAGGAGGATCTGGCAAAATTAAACCAATTAAAACTACAAAAAAAATAACGCAGATGATGATGGCATAGGTATTGCAAAAGAATATTACTTGAATATCAAAGAGACTCTTGAGAAAGATGATTAAATTCTCTAATATTTTATCAAAAAACAATCTCTCTTTATGTTCATGCTGCTAAAGTCAAATACATATCTATATGTGGTTGCTCTCCAACATTGTGAGTTAATCCAGCAAAAAGGCTCAACAAAAAAATAGATAGGAAGACCTAAAACAACACAAGAAATTGAGTCTTTGAGTTTTAGATGATTTTAAGTTGTAGCATTTCTCCCTTAATACGTTGTTCCAGCCAATGGAAAGAAAGGAAGAAGAGATGAGTCAATGCAAGAGAAAGGAGATAAAAATGGATCTGTCCTTTGCCACAAATAACCTAAATCTTAAAAGTTTAAAAACTGGACATTGCACAACAATGTGAATATACTTAACACTACTGAACTGTATGCTTAAAAATAGTTAAGAGGGCAAATTTTATGGTATTTTTTAAACTGCAATTTAAAAAACAAAATACAACAAAAAACCCAGGCCAAAGAAAGAAAAATTTGAGGCTTGAAGCAGGTATAGTGAAAGATATAGAGTTAGTGTTAGAAATATGTCATCATCCCATATAATGAATATTATTACATCTTGAACATTCACCAACACCATTTTTACTTCATAAACTCAGTGAATATTAGAACTTGAAATCTAAGGGGTCACTTGATTTAGTGCTCTAATTTCAAGATAATGAAATAGTTTAAGAAATGTTAAATGATTTACCCAAAGTCGCAAATAGCAAATAACAAAGTCAAGGCTAGAGCACAATTCCTCTCATTCCAATATGATAGGTCTATAAAAATATTACACGGGAGAGATTTTTGGATTTGAATAATTAAAACCTGTGATTCTATTTCATGGAATATTTAGTATCTCATGTCAGATAAGCCTAAAATACTGCAACAAAACACCAAGAACTACTGGTTGCAATATTTTTATAAAAAACATTCAAAATGCATAGCTGAGCTTTTAAAAAAGAATGTGAAATACTCACAGACCAAAAATAAGGAGGGAGCTGAAAACTAGTTGATTAAGGTGGCATTTATGCCCCTGCTATCCTGGAGATATTTGCCCAGCTCGGTTACAAAATGGTCTAAATTTTAATAGTCTTATGGGGACAGAAGACATGGTCTTAAGCTCCCACAAGTTCCCACATTGGAACTGAGTCTCTCATTTGAAATCAGAAACCTTGAAAGGTAACATCCTTAGTGAAATGGTGGGCTAGAAGAAAAATCTGGACAGCAGAAAAGGAGGAGAATGAAGAAGAGGAATTGTCTGTCTTCACATGGGATTTTTTATGGGTGATGTTAATTTCCTCTGAAATTTTGAAACCACAGCCATGCCCTCAAACAAATTTACATTTGAATTTATACGATCTTCATGACCTCAGAAACACCCAGCCAAGATAATAGCATAATGTAATGCCAGGTTAATTGCATCCAGGTCAATAGAAAGAAGCAAGCACATGCTTTCTAGAGGAAAACATATCAAAACAAAGACTCCTCAGAACTCCCAAAGATAAAGCTCCATCTAACAATTCACAATGCTAAAACTACAAGACATACACAGAAACGAACCATTGTGAATAAGAGCCGGTAGGGAAAGCATGCACAGCAATAGTAATTTAAGTTAATAGAAGTAATAGATACAAATTTTTAAAAATATAGTTAAAATATTTA